GTGAGAAATCATGTTTTAAATAAATAAAATAAATTTCTCTTTCACTTTCGAATAATTCCCCAAAATTTAAGGCTTCATTGCCCTAAATGCAAGACAGTTTTTGCAAAGAAATTATTTATGCAAAGCCAATTAAACAATTGAAAAATGGGGAAAAAATTTTGTTTACAAATATGCAGATCATGTTGTTTAAGTCATTTTTGAGACATTTAAAAATATTCTATTAGACAACGAATTATTTATTAGAATGTAAATGCGAGGAGATTTGTTGCTGACTAGCATTATTTCCTTCTAATTCTACATTTGCCATGTCAGCAAACGGAGCTACTTGTTGTTAGCTCATTTTATAGTCTATTTTTGACCATATTTTTGAAACGGAAAACAATTGAGTAGATCTGTTGCAGATTTCAACTCTAAAACTCCCCTCCCTACCTTTTCCCCAATTGGCTAAAGTGAACATCATGATAAAATTTTAGCAGAAACATCACAATAAATTTCTGTCTTTGTTACATGGCAACATTTCATCCTGAAAAAAGCCAGCAGGTGGATGTTTTCAAAATCAGCAAATTAAACTAAACTGTGTCCCTGCATTAAATGAATGAAAATAGACATGGCCTCTTGGGTCAGTTGACCCCACACTAATAAAACAATCCAGAGAAAGGCTGCACATTTCATTTATGTGTATAAAAAAATGAGCACAGGAAAAAAATTCATAGATAATGTCTTTTTCTTTTTTCCTGTTAACCTCTTAGCATGAGAAATCCCAACTGCTTTTTCTAATGCTGAAAAATATTTTTAAACAATATTTCAGTCCACATTACATTGAATTGTGGAGATTTTTTTCTTTAACTCTGTTTTTGAAGTTTCACTCTTAGACAAGTGATAAATACATACCACACAGAATAAACACTAATCCCTTTACAGAATACAGATTAGGGGACAGACCATTTAAGGTTTGCTGATTTAAAAAAAAAAATCCTATTTAAAAACGAACAATGCTTTCTATTAGTTTTGCAAGTTAGCTTCCAAGATCCATGCACGAGGATCAGGTTTTGTTAAGTGAAATGTTAAACCTGAAACTTTCAACAAATTATGAAAACAATTAACTGGGAAAAATCTTAAAGCAAACAGAAGACTTCAAGTCTCATTCATCCAAGCATTCAAGTATAAAAGGAAACCTGCTGTTTCTACTAACAAACAACTGCTCAAATTTTCTCACCAGTTGTTTGGTCAGCAAATATTTTTTGAATGGAACATTTCTCGGTTGGTTGGTTTTTTGTTTTTTTTTTTTCCATTCACTTCAGGAAAAAAAAAACAACACAAATTTAGGGGATAATTTGGTCAAGTGTTTTGTTTTTGCAAAGGGCTGCCTAGTTAAAAACAAACATATATAAAATCACCTATAGAAAGTGTAGGTTAAAGTGAATAAAGTATTCATTGGCTTATACAGGTTATCAGATTTTGATCATATATAATCAGTATATATATTCAACTCATATGTGATCATAGCATGTTATGACCTGTTAACTAATGAGAAGTAAAAATGTTTTTAAACAACTACCTTGTCAATTTTGTCTAAATTTGTTTTATATCTAAGTTCACATAGAATGGAGGAGAAAAATAATGGATTAGGTAGAATAGAAATGGAGCAATTGAGAAGGATGGAAAGCACCAATATTTTTCCAGGTATCCAGAATGCTTGTCTCCTAATAGTTACCTGGAGACAAAAGAGTTTTGTACTATTTCAAGCCCAAATCAGATCCGGCAAAAATCATTGTTCTTACCAGATGGAGGACCAACCTGAGAATCCCTGACACCTTTCTTGCAACTCCAAACTCCTTCAAACCCTCCTCCTATGCTTGTGAAACTTTCCGGGAATGAAGCTATACAAGGGTAAGAGGTATGACTAAATAGGGTGAGAGGTAACTGAGACTTGGATGGAATCATGCAGCGAACCTCCTTATCATGAGAGATGAGAAGCAGAGGCAGAGGTAGTAGTGGAAGAAAGGTCAAAAGACTGAGCAGGGGCTGAGCTTGCCCATCTCTGAAGTCCCGTTAGTGTAAATGATAACAGTCAATTTCTATTTGGCAAGAGTAAATGTGGCTGTACACATGGTTCTACTCGGTACCGTGGACTATATAAATTACCTCGTGTGATCAACATGTTCCACCAGGAAGACAGTTAATTCATTCTGGTGCACTGTGGGGTCAAATAATGCTTTCTTTCACTTATAAGCAATTCCAGTGCATCTATAAACGAACATTATTCTATGACTGAGAAAGTGCATGACACCCAGAAAGTGAAAGTTATTACAAGAGTGGCACTGACTGTTTCAATTATTTAAGGCCAATGAACTTCACAAATCACTCTCTAAATCAGATTATTTCAATGTCATTGCTCCTCTGTATCCATTTTTCACCTTTGGAAATATTGGGAGTTTTTTTTCCAGATTGCTTTTTTGAATGCTGAAATAAAAAAGAATTTCAAAACAGTACTCTACTAGTGTAAAGTGACAAACTAGTGAACAAATATCATTAGAGTACCTTTGAAACTGATGGCGTTTAAAAGCAAGAAATGGTTGAAAGAAATGGAAATGTAAAAGACTAACAAATCTTTTCTATTTTTAAGATTTACTTTTGAGCCAACTTTAAACCATATAAGTTGTTGTTTACTAAATAGAAATTAATCTTTTAAAATAATCATCACTTAAAATCCAAAACTGGAAGTAATTTTATTTCAATTAATATTAGAGAGCACAAAAATATTTAGGCATTTTAATATAATAAAACAGTCTATTATTTTGATTGTGAGTTCACTTGCCAATTTAACCAAATACTAGTCTCCTGGTGCAATTATGCTTGACATCTTAAGTCCCTTACCTCGGACTGTGAGGGTAGCAGAGGCTTCCACCTTTCCAACCCGATTTTCAGCAATACACATATAGGTGCCTTCATCTGTACTCATGGCTTTTTTAATTCTCAGAGTGTAGTCATCTTTGATGTCATACCTGTGTAAAATATGAACTGGCTTTATTAAATAATATTAGTTATAGGAGTAATAACACTAAGTACTCATCTTTATTTTTCTCTTTTTATACTGTATTTTACCTAAAACAAAACATACATACACACACACATACATACAATGTTCAGTCATAAAGTAAAATTACTTAGATTAAAGGCATTACTAATAAGATCATTAATTCCATATTTGATGTCTTGCTGCTTGATTATCAGTTACTTATATTTTATATATGCATACAAGTCCTGCCATTTCAAAACTACCAAAGGCATTATTAACACTTTCACCTTTTTTGGTAGCTCTTAACTAGCAAGAAAAAAATATATACACTTTAATTTTTGGTAAGTTATATTCTATTATCTTTTAAGTCACACTGTGTTCAGTAATGTGACTAATTTTTAGGCATCTTGGATATAAGCGAGGTAAAATATATTTAAAAAGAAAATATTTCTCTTATTTATTATCAAATTGACAAAATAGACATTAGTTAAAAGAACTAAAAGGGATAATGCATTTCTAAATTAACAATATTAACTCTTGAAACATCAATATGTGTTACAGTGATTTTCGGAAATGCACATCCTCAACTCTTTCACACACATTTATTGTCTCACTTCCAATTTTTTTTTCTTTTTTTTTAATTGAAAGATAATTTATTATACATCTTTGTAGGGTACAAAGTTGACTATCAATAGTTATGTACAATTTGTGATGGTCAAGTCAGGATAGTTAGCTTATTCATCGTTACAATACATAACCATTCTTTGTGTCCGTTAACCAATTTCTCATTCCTCCCCTCCTCCTCCCATCCCCTTTTCCACCTCTAGTAACCACAGTTCTGTTCTCTCCTTCTAAAGGTTCTACGTTTTCTATCTCTCTTTCTTTATTGTTTATTTGTGTATTTATAAATTCAGCTCCCACTTATGAGTGAAGATATGGTATTTCTCTTTCTGCACCTGGGTTGTTTCGCTTAGCATAATTTTCTCTAGGCTCATCCAGGTTGCTGCAAATGGCAGATTTTCATCTTTTTTTTTTATGTCAGAGTAGTATTCCATTGTGTACGTATGCCATATTTTCCTTACCCAGCCACCCATCAATTGGCATTTAGATTGGTTCCATAGCCTGGCTATTGTAAGTAGAGCTGCAATAAACATGGGAGTGCAGGTATCCCTTCGACACGATGATTTCCATTCCTTTGAATATATACCCAGTAGTAGGATTGCTGGATCATATGGCAGACTAATAGACTGGTTCAGAAAAAATTCTATAATTTTAATATGAACATTTTTGGGTACTTTCATAATGATATATTCTTAGTAGATTCTAAGAAATTATAGTTACACAAACAAAATAATGAAGCTATTACTTTTTAATTCTGTTCATGTATGATCTTTCCTCATAATTTTCACTGATGGCTTTTATTTCAAACACACAGTTTTGCAAGAGCTTCTGATTGATCACGGTGTCTCTCTTCTCATACATACCGCAGTTAGATCCATGTTTCCAAAACATTATTTTAATTGGTTCTGTCTACCCAAAACTAGCTGTGACTTTCTATTGTTTTCAAGAGAAAAAACAAAATTTTAGGCTTGCATTTAAGACTACCATAATCAGATGTCTTCCACTTCTAGCTTTAGCTAAAAGAATAATACAACTTTACTTTATTAGATGCTAAGTCATGGACTAATAAGAGTTCTGTTTTAGAGACCTTGGCATGACAAAAAGCAATGTCTATATACCATCATGCCAACTAAACTTAACCACTCATGCTCCTCTAGCCTTTAATTATGGTAGTTACTTCTCTGTCTGAATATTTTGTCTTAAATTTCTGCCTTAAATATTAAATATTGCCTTAAATATTTACTATGCCATAAGTTGTTAGGGAACACTTATGCATTACTCTTTTTTGAGTCCTTCCATTATTCTACCAGAAAAATATTGCTCCCTCCTTCGAACTTATTGCTACAGCAGTAATTCTGCAGTTACTTACATTTTGTATTGTTGTCCGTTTTGATAAAGGTAGAGATCCTGTCTGCATCACTCATTGCTATAGCCACACTCCCAAACTCAGAACTTTGATCATCCAAATAGCATAAACAAGTAGTTAAGGGCACAGACTGTAGAGTAAAATGGCTACAATTTTAATCATGGACTGTACCTCTTTCTATGCTCGTCAGGGTGGACAAGATACTTAAATTCTCTGGGTCTCAATTCCTCATTTGCAAAATGGTGCTAATAATAATAATATCTATTTCATGGAGTGGGTGTGGGCTTTTAAATGAAGTGTTGCATATAAAATGCTTAGGTGAGAATCACGATACATGTTAGCTATTTTTATTACACCTACTAGGAACTCAAGAAATACTGGTTGAATACACGATGAATGTATTATTTCTTGTTTATATAAAATCCAGCCAAATGTGAAAGACTTCAAGGCTGCAAATTTACCATATTTGCCTATTAGGGCTTTCTTATGGGCTATATTTATGGTTTAGGGCAAATACTAAGTTAAGATGCATAAAAGAGTGACAATAAGATGCAATATCCTTTCCAACCCGATTTTCAGCAATACACATATAGGTGCCTTCATCTGTACTCATGGCTTTTTTAATTCTCAGAGTGTAGTCATCTTTGATGTCATACCTGTGTAAAATATGAACTGGCTTTATTAAATAATATTAGTTATAGGAGTAATAACACTAAGTACTCATCTTTATTTTTCTCTTTTTATACTGTATTTTACCTAAAACAAAACATACATACACACACACATACATACAATGTTCAGTCATAAAGTAAAATTACTTAGATTAAAGGCATTACTAATAAGATCATTAATTCCATATTTGATGTCTTAGGAATTGTTATTTTATACATGAAGAAATTGACACTTGGGCAAGTGAAATGACTTGCTCAAAGTAGTTTTACTATTAAAGAGGAAAACCAGAGTCCAAAGCTTGACTCTCAACATGTCATTTTTCCTTTTCTATGTGTACCTCTTCCCTGCAGAGAAATGCTTAGTTTAATTTGTAAATGCTAACTTAAGGCATGTAGGACACATTAGCTACATAATTTGAATAGAAATATAATTGCACATTCAGCAAACATTTACTTATACCTTCTGACAAAATTTTACTTCATATTAGAGAAATTCATTATATAAGTAACAGCACAGAGGATAAATACTATGTGAAAGATATTTATCTTTTGCTTTAGTGCAAAAAAGTGTTTATTTTAAAATTACAGAATACATAATATTTGAACCTAAAATCAGTCCAAAATCTGACTTCTTGAGATTTTTCATTTTTTTTTTT